GAAGGGTCTAGGCCCGAAACGTCAGCCTTCCTGCTCCTCTGATGCTGCTTGGCCTGCTGTGTTCATCCAGCTGTACACCTTGTTATCTCTAGTAAGAAATATATGTTTTTCTAACTTTAATTGGGAAACATTGATGTAAATTGGCTCATTGTGGTTTCTAGTCTTAACAGAATTAGTTAAACATGTAAGTCTTCTTAATGCTCTCCAGCATCTGGTATATGGTGCAAAATCGTGACACATAACACTTGTTTAATTACCTGTACGTCTGACCATCTCCGGAAGATTTTTCCTGATATATCTCGATGCATAATCGATACTGTGCAAAGCCTTTCGAAAATGCTTTTCTGCGTCCTGTATCCTGCCCATCCTGACACATAGCTGTCCAATACTGTGGTGAACTTTAAGATAAATTTCAGTTTCCTTCAGGCTCAGAGGGCATGACTAAAATCAGTAAAGCACATATTCCAGAATTAGATTGCAAGCAGATATTCAATTTCATATCCTCTTCATCAAAAGGTAGCCCGGTTCCATCTCCTTGACCTGCCTCTCTCGCTATATTAGCCTTATTAATTGCCTTCAGGTTAATAACTTCAAGACTTTGCAATTCTGCAGCCTCCCATCCTCCACAAACTTCAGTTCATCTAATATCTAGTGCACATGCCTATCCTACAGCAAATTCCACTGTAATATTGCAGACATCTTTGTTATTCTACATTGGCTTCTTTTTCAGCAATGCCTCAGATTTAAAACTTTTAGGATTGTGTTTATAATTCTTGGACAGACTCTATACACTTCAACCGCATGCATTCTTTGTTCCTCTTACATTTTCCCTTTAACTCCCGACTCCTCAGTGGGTTAAAGTTCCTGTTTGGAAACAGGAGATCCTGAATTTGAATGTCAGCAGCACCCTTCTGCCCAAAGGGCCTTTGAATTAACCTGATGTACATGTTGTCAAATATTTTGGGAGTTGGTTACCTCAATTAGCTGGACAGCTGGTTTGCAATGCAGTCAGGCCAACCTTATGGGTTCTATTCCCAAAACAGTTGATATGTGGAGACCACACTGGTCAGCTCTCGCTTTGAGAAATTAGCCCTAAGGTCCTCTGGGACTATGGCAACTTTGCATTTTTAACCTTTACCACACAAGCCTTTCATTCTGGAATTTCCTCTCCCTCTGCCTCGCAAAGCCCAGTATTCATTGTCTGTCTATAATTTCCTGAAGTAGATGGTGGTAGACCCCCTTCTTGAAACGCTGCAGTCTGTGTGGTCAAGGTGCCTCCCACATTAATTCTTGTTTACTAATTGTAGTTTTTAAAATGCATTTGTGGGATGAGGGTGTCACTGGCCGCTCAGCATTTAGTGCCTGTCCCTAGTTGCCCTTGAGAAGATGGTAGTGAGTTGCCTTCTTAAACCACTGCAGTCCACCTACTGGGGGTTGACCCATAATGCCATTAGGGAGGGAATTCCAGAATTTTGACCAACAACAGCGAAGGAATGGCAATATATTTCCTAGTCAGGATGGTGAGTGGCTTATATAGGAACTTGACATTGGTGGTGCTCCAACGTATCTGCTGCCCTTGCCCTTCTAGATGGAAGTGTCACAGGTTTGGAAGGTGCTGGTGAATTTCTGCAGTGCATCTTATAGATGGTATGCACTGCTGCCGTAGAGGGTCGATGGTGGAGGTAGTGGACACTTGTGGATGTGATGCCAATCGAGCAGGCTACTTTGTCCTGGATGATGTCAAGCTTCTTAAGTGTTGTTAGAGCTGCACTCATCCAGGCAAATGGGGAGTATCCTGTCACATTCCTTAATTATGCCTTGTTGATGATGGACAAGTTTTGGGGAGTCAGGACGTGAGTTACTTACCACAGTATTCTTAGCCTCCAACCTGTTCTTGTAGCCACTGTATTTATGTGGTGAGTCCAGTTCAGTTCTCCCCCCCAGAATGTTGATAGTGGGCGATTTGGTGAATCATTGAATGTCAAGAGGCAATAATTAGATTGTCTCTTATTAGTGATGGTGGCGTTTGTGTCGCCTGAATGTTACTTGCCCCTTGTCAGCCCAAGCCTAGATATTGTCCAGAAGTTGTTGCATTTGAACATGGACTGCTTCAGTATCTGAGGAGTCGCACATGGTGCTGATAGTATGCAATCATCTGCAAACATCCCCACTTCTGACCTTATGATGGAGGGGAGGTCATTGATGAAGCAGCTGAAGATGGTTGGGGGCCTAGGACACTACCCTGAGGAGCTCCTGCAGAGATGTCCTGGAGCTGAGATGACTGCATCCAATAACCACAAACATCTTCCTGTGTGCCAGGTTTGATTCCAACCAGCAGAGAATTTGTCCCCTGATACCCAATGGTTCCAGTTTTGCTAGACTCTGTGATGCCACACTCGGTTGAATGAAGCCTTGATGTCAAGGGCTGTCACTCTCACCTCACCTAGCAGCTTGATGCAGCTGAGTGGCTGAGAGTAGTTAGCTGGAGTCAGATGTAAGCAGACCAATGAGGGCAGAAGGTTTCATTCTCTGGAGAATATTAGTTTTTAGGACATTCTGGCAGTTCACCCACTAATGCTACTGATATTTTGAACTGAATTCAAATTCTTAGATTTAACTAATAATGAACTTACATTTAAAAAAAACCAAAGAACTATGGATGCTGGAAACAAAAGCAGAAATTGCTGGAGAAACTCAGCAGGTTTGGCAGCATCTGGGGAGAGAAAGCTGTTAATGCTTTGGGTCTAATGACTCTTCTACAGTTCAGGGTCACTGGACTGAACCATCAACTCTGATTTCTCCCACAGATGCTGCCAAGCATAATTAACTTGTATACTCTGACAGATCAGTCGAGCTCTCCGAATCACTGGTACAGTAACATAATCTCTGCATTACTGTACCAAATATTTGGTCACCTCTCCTACTTACTTCTACTTAGACTCAAATCCATTTTCTTATCACTTTATTAAGCATCTTGGTTATTTTTACACATTAAAGATACTGTATAAACATAAGTTGTCTTGATGTGTCTCATGAAACAAAAGTGTAGTTTATAAATACCGAGACAACAAGGTGCAGGGCTGGGTGAACACAGCAGGCCAAGCAGCATCATAGGAGCAGAGGGGCTGACGTTTCGGGCCTAGACCCTTCATCAGAAAAGGGGGAGGGGAAGGCGGTTCTGAAATAAATAGGGAGAGAGTGGGAGGCGGATAGAAGATGGATAGAGGAGAGGATAGGTGGAGAGGAAACAAACAGGTCGAAGAGGCGGGGATGGGGCCAGTAAAGGTGAGTGTAGGTGGGGAGTTAGGGAGGGAATAGGTCAGTCCAGGGAGGACGGACAGGTCAAGGGGGCGGGATGAGGTAATCGGTAGGAGATGGAGGTGCGGCTTGAGGTGGGAGAAGGGGATAGGTGGGAGGAAGAACAGGTTAGGGAGGCGGGGACGAGCTGGACTGGTTTTGGGATGCGGTAGGGGGAGGGGAGATTTTGAAACTTGTGAAATCCACATTGATACCATTGGGCTGCAGGGTTTCCCAAGCGGAATATGAGTTGCTGTTCCTGCAACCTTCGGGTGGCATCGTTGTTTATAAATACCGATTGTTGCATTTATTTTGAACTTTACACTATTCCAACAAAGAATATCTAAGTTTTATATTTTTAATGTGTTTAATTGATGTATAGAGGAGTCCTCTGAGTAACTGGATTCAAAAACATGAAAGTACTTCTAATACCGATATTAACTGAGGCTCTACTTATACAGCCATGTTTGTTAAAGGGATGTTCTCCTCTAAGTCACACCCAGCGTTCCCTCCAAATTGCGTGGCTGCACACACCAGAGCTGCTTGACATTCTGCACACAGTAATTTTAGCAAGGAGCTGTCCAAACAGACCTCAATCGTCAGCGCAGAAGAAAAAAATACTGGGGCAATGTTGGTCACACCCATCATAACTTCAAATTACATCGTCAGTCCTTCTCTGTCACTCCTTAGATACTGAAGCAGTCCATGAATCAAAATCCCAGAATGCCCTTCATAACAGCACTGTGGTGCACCTAACTCTTCCAAAATGCAGGAGTTTAAGAAGGTGATTCATCACCAACTTGTCAAAGGCAATTAAGAACAGACAACAACCTGTTACGGTGGAATTCAAACCCAGGTCCCCAAAACATTACCCAGGTCTCAGGATTACTTGTTCAGCAACAATATCACAATGCTATTGCATCCACCAAATTGGATATTTATTCAATATATATTCTCTGGAGTTTAAAAGAATGAGAGACCATCTCATTGAAACATTCAACATAATGAAGAAACTTGACAGGTCTTGTTTTCTCTAGCCAGGGAATCTAAATCAAAGGAGCAGTTTCAGTGTAACTGGCTAATCATTTAGGACTGAGATGAGGAGAAATTTCTTCACTCAAAGGGTTTGAAGTTTTGGATGTTTTTACCAATGAGAGTTGTGGATGAACTCTAATTTGAGGCTGCAATGGACAATGTCTTTGGTCTTTCACTGCTTCGAATTATATCAAAAGCAGGTGGGAAAGTGGAGTTGAAGCTAAAATCAAACATAATCATGTTGAATGGAAGAGCAAGCTTCACAGCTAGCATGGTCTTCTCCTGCTCCCATTTCTTACGTTTTCCTAGCTACGTCATTATGGGAAAAATGACCATCATTTATGCCGTGACCATTTAATGATTCTATGATTTATAACCAATAAACAAACATTTCTTTCTACATCAGAGTTTCAAACATGGTTACAGTTAATTAGAAGCATAGTGCTTTGTGATCATAAATGCTTGTGTAGGGGTGTGAATTTTTATGTTTATTTGTTAAGCAGCTTATAACACGATTGTACCTTAAAGTTTTTAATTTTATACCAAAATATTTATATATATTCCCAGGTCAATAATCGTTATAAAATGATCACTGAGATTGTAATTGATCGCTTTGAATATTGTACACGTGCTTGAGTACAATCTGACTAAATATTGCTAATTTTACCTCTGGCAACAAAGTTTGGGCAATTAGAAGTAATTCTTCTGCTGCTGCAGTCTTGTCAAGTTCTTTCAGAAACTCTGCAGTAAACCATATCAAAGTAGCCTGACTGCAGCTGTTATAGTTCAACAATTCATTATCACCATCTGCAATGACAAACATTAATCTTTCCAGGTCATAGAGTCATACTACAGCACAGAAACAGATCCATCGAGCCAACTCGTCCATGCCGACCAAGTTTCCCAAACTATACAAGTCTCACTTGCCTGCGATAGGCCCGTATGCCTCTAAACCTTTTGTACCCATATACCTGTCCAAATGTCTTTTGAATGTTGTAAATGTACCTGCATCTACCAGTTCCTCTGGTAGTTCATTCCAGATATGAACAACCTTCTGTTTGAAAAAACAACAACAGAAATTACTGGAAAAACTCAGCAGGTCTGGCAGCATCTGTGGTGAGAAATCAGAGTTTTAGAGTCATACAGCTTGGAAACAGACTCTTCAGTCCAACCAGTCCACACTGACCATAATCCCAAACTAAACTAGTCCTACCAGCCTGCGTTTGGCCCATATCATTCCAAACATTTCTTATTCATGTATTTATCCAAATGTCTTTTAAATGTTGTAACCGTTCCTGCATCCACCACTTCCTCTGGAAGTTCATTCCACATATGAATCATTCTCTGTGTAAAAAAGTTGCCCCTCATGTCTTTTTGAAATCGTTCTCCTCTCAACTTAAAAACATGCCCCCTGGTCTTGAAATACCCCACCTGCTATTCATCTTTTCTATACCCCATATGATTTTATAAACTTTTATAAGGTCACCTCTCACCTCCTACACTCCAGTGAAAAAGGTCCCAGTCTATCCTTGTAACTCAAACACTCCATTCCTGGCAACATCCTAATAAATCTATTCTGAACTCTCTCCAGCTTAATAATATCCTTCCAATAACAGGGCGACCAGAACTGGACACAGTACTCCACAAGAGGCCACACCAACGTTCCATACAACCTCAACATGACGTCCCAACCCCAAACTCATAGGTCTGATGCTAAACGCCTTCTTAACCACCCTGTCTACATGTGATGCAAACTTCATAGTGTTATCTACCTAAACTTTTAGGTCTCTCTGTTCTACAACACTACCTAAGGCACAAGTTTTAATAGTATAAGTCCCGCCCTTATTTGTTTTACCAAGATGCAATACCTCACATTTATCCAAATTAAACTCCATCTGCCACTGCTCAGCCCATTGACCTTTGTAATCTTAGAAAACCTTCTTCCCTGTCCATTATACCACCAATTTTGGTGTCAACCGCAAGCTTACTAACCATGCCTTCTATATTCTTATCTAAATCATTTATATAAATGACAAACAAAAGTGGACCCAGCACCAATCCCTGTGGAGGACCTCTGGTCTCAGGCCTCCAGTCCAAAAAAAAGTCCTCTCTCTAATCACTCTCTGTCTCCTACTGTAAAGCCAATTTTGTATCCAATTGGCAAGCTCACCCTGAATCCCGTGTGATCTAATTTTACTAATTAGTCTACCATGTGGAACCTTGTAAAAAGGCTTTACTAAAGTGCAAGTAAACAACGTCTATTGCTCTGCCCTCATCAATCTTCTTGGTTACTTCCTTAAAAAACTCAATCATGTCCAGTTGGAGATTTTCCATTGATAGAGATGGGTGTCTAGCAGGAATGAATGAACTGCCTGTAATGTGCTTTAATTAAAAAAATGAAAAAACTTATATTTGCAAGGCACCTTTCACAAGTTCAGGATGCCTCACACTGTTTTACAGACAATGAAGTACTTTTTAAAGTGTTACTTCTGTAATGTGGAATGCAGGAGAATCTCAGCTAATGTTCTGGGGACAAAAACAAAGTTGCTGGAAAAGCTCAGCAGGTCTGGCAGCATCTGTGGAGGAGAAAACAGAGTTAACGTTTCGGGTCCGGTGACCCTTCCTCAGAACTGTTCTGGGGACCTGGGTTCGAATCCTGCCACAGCAGATGGTGGAATTCGAATTTAATTTAAAAAAAAAATCTGGCACAAAGAATCTACTGATGACCATGAAACCATTGACAATTGTTGAAAAAAACCATTTGGCTTACTAATGTCTGCCAGCCTCATCTGGTCTGGCCTAAATGTGACTCCAGAGCCACAGCAATGTGCTTGACTATCAACAGCCATAGCAAGCCACTCATTTCAAGGACGTCTTGGGACAGGCAATATATGTTGGCCAGCCAGCAACACCTACATTCCACAAAAGAATAAAAGAAAAACAAAAATTTCCCTCAGATAAAGAATCTGAAAATCAATCTCAAAAAAAATGAACAGACTAAGAGGTGGCAGACAGGCAGGTAGAAGGATAAGCAGAAAGAGCTGACAAAGTGGAACACAAGTTGCTCCATGAGACTGTAGGAGGAAAAGTACTAAAGGTGAAAGTCATATCATCAGTATAACGTTTTGATGGAGGGGCGCAGTTGACCAATCTCAAACTCTTTTAGAGATGGGGCCACTGGTTCACATTGTCAGCAGCACCTACTGGAAAGAAAGTGGAAACTCAATGTTAAGGCTGGAAGACTGCTAATTCACTACCAGAAAGGCATAAAAACACCCTTGCACTTTTTTGTTGTACAAAAATAGGAACCTACTATAAAAGTTATATTTTGAGCTGTTATAATTTTTAAATAAAGGTTAGCAAACCAGGTGAGGTACGAAGCCACTTTGCATGATAATTATCAGATGAGAATATAGAAGGCATGGTTAGTAAGTTTGTGGATGGCACCAAAATTGCTGGTATAGTGGACGGTGAAGAAGGTTTCCTAAGATTACAAAGGGCCCTCGATCAATTGGGTCAGTTGGCTGAGGAATGGAAGATGGAGTTTAATTTGGATAAATGTGAGGTATTGCATTTTGGTAAGACAAACAAGGGCGGAACTTACACAGTTAAAATTAGGGCCTTGGGTAGTGTTGTAGAACAGAGACCTTTATGGGGAGTAAGACAAAAAATAAGTGATCATAAAAAGAATAAATGAAGGTCAGAGAAGTTCCTAGGAGGAAGAAGATCAGAAAGAAATTGTGATGAGAAGTAAGAGAGTTTGGAAGCTTTAAATGAGAGAGGGATTTGCTATCAAACAACTATTTTGCTTGCAAGTCGTATGCTAAAAAATACTTCTAATGAAAATGATTGGATTTTCCGCTGGCCAGACAGTCATTATGCCAGAGTAGATCGGAGGTGCAGGTGGGACTTTTCCGAATATCCAACTTAGCACACTTCAAAGAAATTGCTTGGGAAGTTAAATTTTCTGTTTGAATTCTATGCCTGGAACCCTCCAAAAGTCACCATTTAAATTGGAGACTTCAGAGGGTTTCAATCAAATTATGTAAAATAGTTATTCAATAAATGTTTGACAATTAAATACATAGTCTAACCCAAGTAGCTTTTAAACTAACTTCGTATTTACCTCACACATCCCCAGTTGCAAATCCCTTCGATTCTGAACCAACACCTTCAGACCCTGACCTGACCCCACACTCTTCATCATTCAGAACCCAGGGCACCCCTCTACACCGGGACCTGACACCTGCACCCTGGGTCCCATCACCCCAATCCTAATCTGCACCCGATTACACCTCCACCGGACCCAACTATCCCTACCCCACCAGCAACACAACCCCTACCAGACCTTTCCCCTGAAATCTGTGTGGGATAGCCACTCCCCAGAAAATCTGGTTCACTTAGTACACAAAATATTAATTAAAACCAAAAAGCCATTAAGGAAGCTATATGGAAAATTATGTAACAGAGCTACCTACTAATAATTGATACATTTTCCTACCATACATCAAGATAAATTAAGTGAGAGTTTAAAATTTAATTTTTCCACAAAGAATTGAGAACAATACTTTTTTCATGGTAACTGTAAATATTATTTCAAATTTCGTACTTTCTGATATATAGGGTCTGGCCAGGAACTCAATCACCATGTTGTGATAGGAAACCGTAGGATCAAATCCTGCCTCTGATAACAAATCCCAGTGATGGACAAGGTCCATCTTCGACTGATAAGAATGCTTTGAATTCTGATAAATTAAATCCATGATTCTAAAGAGAAAGAAACAAGACTTTTTACTTTTGAATTCTGCCTGACATTTTACCTGTGAAAAATAGGTCATTGGGCTGCCATTGGCATTAACCTCCCAAAAGGCAATAAATATACATAAAGTAAACATGCATAAACATGGATCTGGGGTGTTGAGGTTTGGGGTAGGTAGGAATGATTTTGACTGTTAGCAAGTATACAATAAAATGGTACTGGTTTCAGTCAAATTCCCGCCCAAAGTAACAAGAATGAGGACACACTAGTTTTTATTTGAGCATCATAACTATTCCGTGTCGGAATTAGGCAGCAAAAAAAAAGGGTCCAGCTGTAAAGGGGATGCAAGAGCACAGGGAACTAGGTATACGTGTGCATAAGTCATTGAAGGCTTGCAGGGAAATTTGAGAGAGTAGATATTAAAGCATACAGTATCCTAGATTTTGTAAATAGGAGCAAATCATGCAACAGCAAGGAGGTTATGAGGAACTTGGATAAGATATTAGTTTGGCCTCAGTTGGATTATTACATCCAATTCTGTATGCTACATTTTCGGAAGGACTTGAAGGCATTTGAGAGAATGATGATAAGATTTGCAAGAATAGTTCCAGGGATTAGGAATGTCAATTATTGAGATACGAGTTATAAGATGTAAGGTAAGTCTGTCATCCTCGGTTATGAGATAGAAGTATTCAAAACCATGATGGGTTTGACAGAGTGGGTAGAGAGAAACAGCTCCTATTTATGAAAGAATTGAAAGGAAGAGACACAAATTTAAAGTAATTGGCAAAAGAAACAAAAGCGACACAGAGAAAACTCTTTCATGTAGGGAATGATTAAGGCCTGGAATAAACTGCCTGAGGGTGTCATGGATGCAAGTTCGATCAAGGTATTCAGAAGGAATTAGACTTTTATTGGAAAAGGAACAGTATACAGGGTAATGGGGATAATGTAGGAGAGTGAGTGAGTTGCTCATTTGCAGCATCAGTGCAGACATGATGCAGCCAAACAGCCTTCATTTTTGATGTAACAATTCTGTGTTTCCACATATATACCAAAACAAGTCTTTGTACCTTGGCAAAACATTGGCAGTTAATCATTAATTGCACAGAAAAAAAGAGATTTTCTCTTGAACTTCATCAAAGATTTAACATACGACCATAAGTCCATAAAATATAGAAGCAGAAATTAGGCCATTCAGCCCATTGGGTCTGCTCTGCCATTCTATTATGGCTGATAGGTTTCTCAACCCCATTCTCCCCGTAACCCTTGATCCCTTTGACAATGAAGAACCTATCTATCTCTATCTTAAATTTACTCAACGACCCGGTCTCTACAGCCTTCTGTGACAATGAATTCCATAGATTCACCACTCTCCGGCTGAAGAAGGTTCTCTTTAACTCTGTTCCAAAGGGTCTTTCCTTTACTCCAAGGCTGTGCCCTCGGGTCCTAGTCTCTCCTACCAATGGAAACATCTTCCCAACTTCCACTCTGTCCAAGCCGTTCAGTGAGTAATTGATCCCTGAAATTAGCTTCAATAAAATTTATTTCATTTGAATAATCCATTTCAATTAGTATTTCAAAATATTGAACATGTATCACTTGTAAGAGAAATGCTGCAAATAAAAGTGATTATAGCAAAAACACCACCAAATATTAATAAGTATCTCAAAACATAGTATCACAGAGTTGTTACGGCACAAAAGAAGGCCATTCAGCTTATTGTGCCTGAGCCACCTCTTCAAATGAGCATCATTACCTTGTGCCAATCTCCTGCCTTTTCCCCATATCTTTGGACTATTTATATCCAAATAATCTACTAATGCCTTCTTGAATACCTCAGTTGATTTTGCCTTCACTACATTTCCAGGCGTGCATTCTGTACCTCACTTCTTCTCTTTGCACATCACTTTAATACTATGCCCTTTCGTTCTTGGTCCTTTTAAGAGTGGCAAATGCTTCTCCCCATCAACTCTTCTTAGCCTTCTTCTTTCCAAACAGAACAGTCCTAACTTCTAAAATCTATCCTCATACCTGAAGCTCCTCATTCCTGAAGGTATTCTTGAGAACTGCTTTGCATCCGCACATTTTTCATTTTTCCTATAATGTGGCACCCAGACCTATACACAATACTCCAGCTGAAGTCAAACATGTGTCTTAAGCAAGGTCAACATCACCTCTTTGCTCTTATGCTCTGTCCCTCTCTTCATAAAGTTGAGGACACAGCATGATGTATTAACTGCTGCTCTGTACTTGTCTTGCAACCCTCAATGATCTGTGCACATATACACTCAGGTCCCTCTGCTCCTGCACCCCCATTAGAAATGTATTTTTTAAAATTATTTTTCAAAGTTCTTTCTAACAAAGTGCATCACCTCTAATTCTCTGCATTGAATTTCATCTGCCATCTGTCTTCCTATTCCACCAACTTGTCAATGTGCTTTTTGGAGTTCCACACTGTCCTTTTCACACTCTGCAATTCTTTACAGATTTTGTGTCATCTGCAAACTTTGAAATTGTTCTTCTGCACACCAAGATCCAGATCATTAATATATATCAGGAAAAGCAAGGATCCCAATATTGGCCAGGGGAACTCCACCACAAACATTCCTCAAGCCCAAATATCCATCCACCATACTCTCTGTTTCCTATCACTCAGCAATTTTGTATCCACATTGCTATTGTTCCATGCTCCCTTGAACACCTGTGTGACTTTCATCCAGTCTCCGTTTTTCTGTTACTGAAACCTTCATTCATATCTTCCTTGCTTCTTGAAATGGCTATTCCAATATACTCCTGACTGTTTTCTCACATTCTGCTCTCCGTAAACTTGAAATGATCAAAAGCTTTGCTGCCTGTGACTTAAATTGCAACAGGTCCTGTCTCGCTATGATCCCTGTGCTTGCTAATCTACATTGCCTTCCAGTCAAGAAATACCTGACTTTTAAAATTCTTGTACCTGTTCTTAAATCATTCCATAGCTTGGTCCCTCCCTAGCTTTGTAATTTTCTTCAGCGCCACAACGTGTTTGCAGTCCTTCAATTCTCACCTCTTGTGCATTTCCAAAAATAATTATCCCACTATTCATCACTCCTTAAATAATTTCTCAAAACCTACAAAATTGTTAATATGACGTAAGCTGTTGTTGCATGTGCAATGCCTTGGAACTGCACTATTTCACAGTGCACAAACTAAGTGAAGTAAGTGAGGAAGGAAGGAACTCAGAATTAAATTGTTAAAATGCATCTGTTTTATGAAATGTAAAATTAAAGCTTTTGGTTGAATTTTGCTATGTAATGTAAAGCAACAGTCCTTAACAACAAGAGTATAAAGAATTAGACTAAATGTTGTAAATGCAATGATTGAATAGTAAAAGAAATGTGAAAATTTTGACTTACAGGGGATCAGATACAACAATACGTAAATCACTGAGGTTTCCACTCATTTTCAGATGCCAAGGTAGCTCTTGGTAAAGGTTCAAGGTGTATTTCTGCTGTGAAAGGTACTCTGCAAATAGCTGGTGATTGAGGGTCTTTTTATAGTTAAAATGATTTTGATAGGAGTTTGAAGTAGATTCATTGACTGGAGCAATAACACCTACAATTCAGAAAAACAGATATAGAAATTAGCATAGTTTTATAGTAAGTTACAAGCACATTGTCACTGCCCTTAAATAACTTCGAATCTGTTCTATGAATATGTAAGTCATTTTGGTGGACTGTGATTTTCAACTCTAGAAATACAAATATCTTAGTGTCCTTGATTAAGTAGCAACATCTTAATTACTACAATTATTGGTATTCTTGCAAATTGTCCTGATGAATGCAAGATGAAAAGTTTCAACAAAATTTGTCTTTTCTGTCATCTACCAAACAACTATTTTAAATGATCCATTCCAATTTTAGCATGAGACTTTTTACCTAGAAGAAGATATTCCACAGCATCCCGTATTGATTGGTGAGTGAAATTCAACAATCCATCTGGCCTTTCTTGTATCCATGCCATGGTGGCAGTACGGAAGACAGCCCAGTCAAAACTACTGATCTCATTGGTGTCTTTATAGCCCAGGTATTTAAGAAGCTGTTGGATGTCCTTCTCATTTATTCCATAACGAGATACACCAAGCAGACAAAGGATGTCAACGACCCAACCCTTCATACCTGAAACATGGTGCAAGAAGAACTACAGGAAGTTAAGCATGCTTTTCTCTACAAACTATATCAACTCTGATAAATTTAAACATCTCAATTTGACAATCCTTAACTTCTATTTAAGGAAGTGCACATCCAATCTATGCTGTCATAACTTTTCCCCTTTGGCCCAAGTATCATTCTGGTGCATCTGCACAGCAAGTTCTCTAAGGTCTAGATATCATTCCTTAGAACCAAATGCAGTGCTTCAGATACAGAGACCTTTTCTTACTGATTTCTAGTTGCATCAGTCCTGCAACTTTCCACCATGTTTTGATTGTTTATAAAAACTTCTCGACAGTGCAAAACCTTTCAAAGTTTACTGTTATAGTATATCTACCCAATGAGCTCCACAGGTGTTAGCATGCGTCTATCGTTGGAGTGATTGGATTCGTATAGAAGGAAAGAACTTACTGATAATATCAAGAAATATTTAAAACTCTAGCAACTGCATATACTTTTTTATTTTGTACTTTGTATAGAACTTGCAGTATAGATACTAGGCATTTGACCCTAATGGTCTGTGCCGGTGTTTATGCTTTATTCAAACCTCTTCCCAACCTACTGCACTTTACCATATCTGGCAATTCCTTGTTTTATCTTATGCTGACCTAGCTCCCTTTAAATTCTAATGTGTGATTAGTTCATAATCACACAATGTACCAAATCACAAAGTTCTTTCTTCAGTGGATTTAATTTCAAGTGATGTTGTATGAAAACATGTATGTAGGAAGAAGAAAACAAGTTCAATCAGGCTTGTACACAATACTCTTGAGCAGCCTCCAGAAGCCCTAAGGCTGTTTTGCAGTGGTGCCCCAATTTTCGTAATTTTTATTTCTCATCCCTAGTGCTCTGATGTGGATTAATGTTCTCCTGAACCACAGCAGTCCTTGTACCAATTGCACTCCAACAATGTTATCAGGTAGGGAATTCAAGCATCTTGACCCAGTAATGATGAAGAAATGAAACAGCCATGACTAAGTCATGTTGATAGAATTAGAATGGAAGAAGAATTAGGTTTATTGTCACATTTACTCAAGAACTGAAGTACAGGGGTACTGTGAAAAGTTTACAGTGTTGCCCCACATAGCGCCATCTTAGGTACAAAGTACCTAGGTGCAAATCTTAGATACAAGGTAGAAAGATAAAGAAAAAAGTTATGTTACCTTACAGTTATTCATTGTATAAGTTAAAAAACTAAGAAATAAAGTTAAAAAGACAAACATTACTGTCTTTCTACAGAGAGCCTGCAGTAGATCAATGCAGGGGTTTTCCACACATGGTCTGACTGGGCTCGCAAGCCGCTCACTGCCCACACCAGTCCCTAGTCCAACAACCGACCCTGCTCCACTCTGGGCACGATGGCTGTTCCTCTCCGCTCCGGGGACGCTGGCTGTTCCTCTCAGCTCTAGGCATACTAATTGTCCCCACTTCACTCTGGGTACGCCGGCCGTCCCCGCTCTGCTCCAGCCCTCAGCTGCTCCAATGATGACACCACTGCTCCAAGGTAAGTTTTTAAAAGAAACACTAAAAAACTTTAAGAGAGAAGAACGAGAAAAGAAAGATAAAAATTGTATGGTATGGATGAGCCCCAAGCTGAGGAGCCTGGATGCTGCCTACTCTGCCGCCGCCATCTTGAAAAGTGATATGTGATTTGGTGAAGGATTTTGATCAAATGCTGTTCAGTCTCATGCTATTATTTTCTTTCCTTGTGGTAGGCTGACAGCTGTAACAGAAATAATCAGTTAATGACCAGATACTGTGGTCAATCTTCTAGACAGTATACATACCACAGCCAAAGTACCCAGATGTAAGGAATAGACCCATTCACTAAATGCTCAGTTTTGAATGGTGTCTAGCTTCTTGTATAGCTACAGTGTCCCCCCAACACTGGCGCACTCTTTAGCTGATCCTTGTAATTGGTGACAAAGTTTTGAGGGGTCATGAGATAAGCAGCTTAATATAGAATACTCAGCTTCTTCCTTTGCTTTTATACAATGTTGGCATGGTCAATTAATGTTGTTGATGTGAGAGCACTTGGGTACTGCTGGTGCTATTGAAATTCAGGTAGTTGTACCTTTTCTCACTGGTGAAGGTTATTACCTGCTATTGTGTGTCGTAAAGGTTATCTAGCACTGTCAGAGCAAATGTCATTTCCATGAAAAACTCCTACAACAATATCCTAGGGTTAAGCATTTGGCCTCCAACCACAGGCAACAATTTTCTTTTTGTCAAGTATATCGCCTCATCTCAGTCCTAAAAAGTTGACCCCTTATCCCCAAGCTATGATCCCTGGTTCTGGATTCGCTCACCATTGTGAACATCCTGCCTGCATATAGCCTGTCTAGCCCTATTGTAGGTTTCTAGAGATCCCCCTCATTCTTCTAATCTGCAGTGAATACAATCCTAACCAACTCAGTTTCTCCTCATACATATCAGTCCTCAACCCAGGAAACAATCTGGCAAATCTTTTCTACACTGTCTCTATGGCAAGAATAAACTGCACACAATATTCCAGGTGTGGCTTCACTAGTGCCCTGTATAATTGCAGCAAGACATCCTTGTTCCTATACACATATCTTCTCACTATGAAGGCCAACATACAGTGAGACTTCTTTACCACCTACATGCCTACTTTCAGTGACTGGTACACGAGGACACCCGGGTCTTATTGAACATTCAACTCTCTCAATTTATAGTCATTTAAATAATAATTTGCTTTCCTATTTTTTGCTACCAAAGTGGACAATCTCTCATTTATCCACTTTATACTGCATCTGCCATGCATCTATCACTCACTAAGCCTGTCCAAATCACATGGCAACAGCTTTGCGTCCTCCTCACAATTCACCCTTCCGACCAGCTTTGTGTCATCTACAAATTTTGAGATATTACATTTAGTTCCCTCATCCAAATCGTTAATGTGTATTGTGAATAGCTGGGGTCCTAGTACCAATCCCTGCAGTACACCATTAGTCATTGCCTGCCATTCATTCCTACCCTTTGTTTCCCTTCTGCTAACCAATTTTCTACCCATCTCAATACACTATGTGCTTTAATTTTGCACATTAATCTTTTATGGGATTTTTCGAAAGCCTTCTGAAAGTCCAAATAAACTACATTCACTAGCTCCCCCGATCAACTCTACCAGTTACATTCTCGAAGAATTCCAGTAGATTTATCAAGCGTGATTTCCCTTTTGCATATCCATGCTGGCTGTGTCTGACTACCACTGTTTTTGAAGTGCTCTGCTATAAAATCCTCGATAATGGACTCCAGCATCTTCATCACTACTGCCATTAGACTCACTAGTCTATAATTCCCCATTTTCTCTCTATCTCCCTTTTTACATAGATGAGTCACATTAGCTACCCTCCAATCTGTAGGAACTGTTCCAGAATCCAAAGAATCTTGGAAGATGGCCACCGATGTATCCACTGTTTCTAGGGCCATTTCCTTAAGTTCTCTGGCCATGAAATTTATTAGCCTTCAATCCCATCAATTTTTCCAACACCATTTCTCTACTAATAGAGATTTACTTCAGTTCCTCCACTCACTAAACCTGTCTTCCCCTCATTTCTGGTATGTTATTCATGTCCTCCTTTGTGAAGACAGAAGCGAAGCGTCAATTTAGTTCATCAGTCTTTTTTTGCTTCCCATTACAAATTCCCCCATTTCTGACTGTAAGGGACCTACATTGGTTTTCACAAATTTTGTTCTCTTTACATACCTATTGAAACTTTTACAGTCAGTTTTTACATTCCCCTCAAGCTTACGCTCATACCCTATTTGCTCATTTTAATCAATCTCCTGGTTCTTCTTTGCTCACTTCTAAATTGTACACAATCCTCAGGTCTATTGTTTTTTCTTAACAATTTATGTGCCTCTTTTTTGTATTTAATGTTATCTCTATCCCTTGTAAATCAGTTTGGTTTCTGTTAGCTTTGCACTCTTGCATAAAACAGGGATAAGCAATTCTTGTAGATCACTTATTCGCCTTTGAATGTTTGCTTTTGCCTATCCACTGTCATTCCATTCAATAACATTTCCTAATCCATCATAGCTATCTCACACCTCATACCATTAACATTCAGTTCTGAAGAAGGGTCACTGGGCCCAAAGTGTCAACTCTGTTTTCTCTCAACAGACACTGCCTGACCTGCTGAGAATTCCCAACAATTTCTGATTTTGATTAAGATTCAGAACCCCAGCCTCAGAATCAACTGCAGCACTTTTCATCTCAATGGAAGATTCTATAATATTGTCGCTCATCCCTAAGGAGTATATCACAACTACATTACCAATTATTCCTTTCTCACTGCATAATACGCAGTCTAAGATGGCCTGTCTCTAGTTGGTTCCTCAACATATTGGTCCAGAAAACTATGTCCTAAACACTATAGGAATTCCTCCTCTACAGTATTGTGATGAGTTTGATCTGCCCAATCTATACGAGGATTAAAGTCACCCATAATTACAGGTATTCCTTTATCACGTATGTCTCTGAACTCCTGCTTAATGTCATTCCCAACTTCACCACTACAATCTAGTGGTCCATGTACTAGCCCAACTGATACATTTTGCCCATTGATACATCACAATTCTAATCACATAGATTATATATTGTCTGAGTTAATGTATTTCCTCAATATTGTTTTTATATTCTTTTTAATCAATAATGCAATACCACCACCTTTTTCTTTTTGTCTGCCTACCTAAATACTGAATACCTTTGGATGTTCAGTTCCCATCCCTGGTCACCCTGCAACCATGTCTCCATAATCCAACTGTATCTCCATGTTTTTAATATATTTGCGTGATTCATTTATCCACTTTACTTCAAACACGCTGTGTGTTCAGGCACAAAGGCTTAAGGCTTATCTTTTTAATGTTCCTAGACCCTTTCCAACTATATTTTGTGGTGGCCTTGTTTGATTCTAGCCTTTGATTCCTCTGTAGATCATTTCTCTTCTACCCCTTTCTGTTTCCTTGATTTCATTTCCTCTGACTCCTTGCATCTCCCTGCTAATATAGTTTAAGTCCTCCACAACCACTCTAGCAAATACTCTCCCTAGGGCATCAGTCCTAGTCCTGCACAGGTACAACCCATCCAATTTGTACAAGTCCCATCTCCTCCCATCCTAATGCCTCAGTTTCCTTCTTTAAAGGACAATAATGAATCCAATGGATTTTCATTACAATCAATAAAAATTAACTTCTTTAATGATAGATTTTTTTTAATATTGAATTCAAATTTCCCTATTTACTCTGGTGGGATTCAAACCCATGGCCTCAAAATATTAAACTCTGGCTTTGGATTAAAAACCCATTGACATTACCACTCCATCACTGCCTCCCCACCACATATAAAAATACAGTGGCTACAAGAAAAATGCAGTCAGTAACTCACCTCATGACTCCCAAAGCCGGTCCACCATCTACAAGCTGCAACTCAAGAGTGTGATGGAATACTCCCCACTTGCCTGGATGAGTACAGCTCCAACAAACTCAAGAAGTTTAACATAATCCAGGACAAAATAGCCCGCACTATATTCACAAATGTGCAGTCACTCCACAGACACTCAGAAGCAGTGTATTATCTACAAGATGAACGACAGAAATTCACCCAAGATCGTTCGACAACACCTGCCAAATCTGGGACCACTTCCAGCTAGAAGGACAAGGGCAACAGATACATGGGAACACCACCACATGCAAGTTCCCTCCAAGCCACTCACCGTTCTGACTTGGAAGTAAATTACTATTCCTTCAAGGTTGCTGCATCAAGATCTTGGAATTCCCTCTTTGATAGCATTGTGGATCTATCTATAACACATGGGCTGCAGCAGTTCAAGACGACAGCTCTTCACCACCTTCTCAAAGGAAATTAGGGATGGGCAATAAATGCTGACACAGCAAGTGATGCCAACATCCCATGAATGAATTAAAAAATTGAATTAGATAGCTGATCATCCATTAAATTGCAGAAGCAACATTAGCATCCAAATGGCCCATCTCTGTACCTATATTGTTGGGCTATGCCGTGTAACTCGGATTTACTGGTCATCGGACTACTGAGAAGGACCTATAACCAAAGCTCTAATTATAAGGTATGCCAGATGCTGCTCCTGGTATTCTCTTCTATACTTCATATTATACATTGTTGGTCACCTGGCTTGTAACGTGGAAGGACTTTACTGGTTTGTCAGGCCTGAGATTAAGTGAGGACATTGTACCTTTTGAATGATAGCTACCTTCGACGATTAAATGCTATTAAAGTAACATTATCCATTGCTTGGAAAAGAAATGAATTTGGCTTTCAAGGGCAAATCAGAATACAAAATAGAATAAAGCTGTGAATTTAATGCAAAAGACACTATTACATAACATCTTACTCAAGTTAAATGTGAACATCATGTAAGTTTGTTTTTTTCTGTGGGTTCCATAAGCTTTGAGAATTTAATTTTGTCATACAGAATATATTTACTAACCTGAGATGGAAGAATGAGAATAGGAGTAAGAGATTTCTTTTTCTCTGCTGCAAGTTCTCTTCTCAGTAACCCAACTGTAGTCTTCAATCCACCGCTTGAAGACAGCGGCCCACAACTCCTGAACAGAACGACACTGAAGGTATTCCTCTAGACAATCAGTCTCATTTCTGAATGCTCCACACACTCGAAGTTCATTAGCCAAAATAACCAGGACAAGTGGAAGTGAGCTCAATTTTCTACTCAGGATATTTTGGATTTGGCTTTCATTTATCTCTTTGTAGGGCATGGCCAGATGCTGCTGGAAGATATGGCTTTTGACTTCATCAGCAATTTTGTTGAAGAACTGAATCACATGTACTTCTTCATGCTTTAACAGTGATTTGTAGGAAAGGTTGGACAAGGCAGTGGTCACAATAAGCCTGCATTGGTCTGGGAGGGGCCACGGAAGCCATGAGAATTCCTTAACCTGTAGAGAAAAATACCATTATATTAGATTAAGTGATTGAACAAGGACACTTTGTAAATGCATATTAGTTATTCAAAAGTGTAACAGACATTTCTGCTTATAATCATTTTCAAAACTGTTTAGAAATAATAATCATTACTTTTTAATTTCGTTGTAATTGAACTTCCTCACATAATTATGAGATTAAAATGGATGTTACTGTTATAAACTATGCAGGTGTTGCCTATTACGGAGTCAAACTCCTCATTCATTATCTTATCACTGAATATGACAAATGGATGGCCATACTACCTGTGAACATTCATTTTAGGTTATATGAAGATTGGATCGTTATGATTTTTTGGATTTTGAGTTCTTACTTTTAAAAGCCATAAAGGTCTGCCATATTACCAAATTATCATTAATAATTAGAATAATACCTGCTGTGCTGACATCCCACGGGTTCCAGTTAGTTGATCAGCACCATCTAACACAAGCAAACATGGTTTTAAACTAATCGCTGCCATGAAGGCTTTGTGGATCATCTGAAATACCCAAAGGTCTGCAGGATCTTCAGCGAATGCATCAGGATGATCTTCAGCTCCTGAAATTCAATTATAAAAATGTTTTATACTCACTGCACAACATTTTGTTCACTTTTCAATGAACGACATCACATTGTGTTGCTCGCTGACAACAATAAAAGTGTATTTTCAATCTTAGTCCAATTTTAACTCGGGCTGAGAAATAGAGATGGGGGGTTGAAGAGCATAGTGAACAGTCCAGTTCCCCCACAGCATGATGTCCATGTGACCTTAGCAGTGAGCACTTCCTATCTAAAACCAGCAGGAATAGTATCACTGAGAGTCATAATTGATCAGTGGATAAACAGTAAGAGTCAGGTCTCTGACAAAATAGTCCCTGGCACACTAACTATGGTATTTCGGACCAGTGGTTCTGTTGCATATGCAGCTGTTCTTCCTGACTGCAGCCAACCTGGTATGAGGCCTGAAACAGTATTAGGACTGTCACTTATTTCAACAAAATTTAATCGAGGTCTTGGCCACACTTAGAATATTTCCAATGTGATGAGTGGTGCATTCTCAACATGTTTTAAACATGTGCTTGCTAATCGTAGTGCCAGAGGCTTTGGCACCCCTTTGGCACTTGAAAAATGGATAATGTGTGATTGCAATTCTAGGCTAGGTTTGTCAGATTGTCAATAAACATATTGTTTATTCTTTTTGACTGACAAACAATAGATCTTAACCAAGTACGTGAATATTTACATGCTGACTCTAAACATTAGGTAACTACCAACAGGCCATGTTCATTAGCACCAACACACCCTTACCAAAATATTCATGGCGTAATTTTAAAATACAGTGCCTCATAAAGGACATGATGTCATGGCTGGCACAGCTACTTCCTACGAAGTGAGTTATCACCAGGATGCATGGGTTTGTCTGCGTGAAGTATTTTAGCCAGTTGCAGATCACTGTTGACTTGCCACAGCCTTTCTCTCCGCAAAGTAATAGGACAGATTTGCCTTTGGGCACAGGTTTTAGATGCCTAGTTAAACAGAGAAAACAAATCGGAAACAGATCATCAATTGCCCTGTAGCCATTTTTACCCACCACCCAGCTGATGTATTATTTTAGCATATTGGCCATGGTGATTCCATGCAGTAGCTAATAAACTGTTTGATATGGATATCTTGGCGCTGATTATTTATCATAAAAAGGAACATTGCCAAATGTTCTTGGTCTAATCTTTGAAAAGGTTTCAACAGTATACTGTTACTTAAAAAAATGGTGTTCCTTTCTGAAAAGAATTCCTGCTCCTTTCCTGTAATTTGTGAATTATTACATTAGGGACTTGTATCTGATTGCTTGTTCAAAACAAAATGGTACACACCTTCTTCATCCAGTTGTTTAGAAACAAGTTTAAACATGAAAACAATGCAATTGTTTAATGTATAAATTGTAAATGGATATACTTCTATCACTTATTTTAAAATGTCTACACCTCCTCATTTTATATTTCCCATCCACAAGTCATTTCCTGTGTGAGAATGGAGAGAAATCAATTTACATTCATGATTGTTCATCCACACCATCATCCAGTGCTGTGATCTTAGCTGTGATAGATTTGCACATCCATACTAATAAAATCAGACCATAACACCATTCAAAATAGGAATAGGAGTAAGCTGCTTGGCCCATCAAGACTGCTCTGCCATTTAATAAGACCATGGCTGATCTGGCATACCTCATATACTCTTGAGATAACAAGGTGTAGAGCTGGATGAACACAGCAGGCCAAGCAGCATCAGAGGAGCAGGAAGGCTGACGTTTCGGGCCTAGACCCTTCTTCAGAAATGGGCATCCTTAGAAGAGGCTTCGCAGTGGGGTTAAAATTGTTTCAGAGATAGTAGGAACTGCAGATGCTGGAGAATCTGAGATAACAAGGTGTAGAGCTGGATGAACACAGCAGGCCAAAAACCTTCAAAGGGTCTAGGCCCGAAATGTCAGCCTTCTTACTCCTCTGACGCTGCTTGGCCTGCTGTGTTCATCCAGCTCCACACCTTGTTATCTCAGATTCTCCAGTATCTGCAGTTCCCACTATCTCATGTACTCTTGCTTGTGTTTTCCCCATGACCCTTGATTCCCCTACTGATCAAGAATCTATCTATCTCAGCTTTAAATATCCATAAGGACTCTGCCCCCACAGCTGTCTGTGGCAAGGAGTTCCAAAGACTCTCAACTCTGAGCAAAGAAATTCCTCCTCATGTCAGTCATACCCCTTTATTCTGAGACTATGCCCTCTGGTCAGAGACCCACCCATGAAGGGAAACATCCTCTCAGCATTTACCCTGTCTAGCCCCTTAAGAATCCTATATATTTCAATTAGATCACCTCTTATTCATCAAAACTTCAGTGCTTAGCCTTCGCTCATAAGACAATAGCTTCACACTACGGATCATTCTAACGAACCTGCTCTGAACTTCCTCCAATTAAATAATGTCTTTCTTTAAACAATGGTACCAAAACTGTCACAGTATTCGAGATGTGGTCTCATCAGCACCTTGTACAGTTGCGGTCAGAATTCCCTACATCTTGAAATAAGAGCCAACATTCCATTGGCCTTCCTGTCTTTATCGTGATAGTGTACATCAATGCTCACACACATACACAAATGTGCGCCCACACACAGAAAGGCCAATGCATTAATCACTTTAGATTATGTAACCGTGTTTTTATTTATTTCATATTAATGAATGAAGATGGTGTGGTGGAGTCACATATGCTGAGTTTGTTGCATATTGGTGGAACAGAACATTCATTGAAGGAGAAATTGTTATTTTGACCAAAGAATTGCATTGTGACTACATGAACTACAGGAATGCAGGATAGGAAAATATTGGTCAAGGCAGAGATTTTGCTAAAGCCTACAAAGTAATTTTTAAATTATGCTAGATCTGTGAAGGAACCTTGGTCCATTGTTTCTATGACTAAAAATATGCATCCTTCACTCCAGAACTGAAGATTTATAAAGCTATTAGAGATAATATGTGGGACAAGGTGTAGAGCTGGATGAACACAGCAGGCCAAGCAGCATCACAGGAGCAGGAAAGCTGACGTTTCGGGTCTAGACCCTTCTTCAGAAATGGGGAAGGGGAAGGGGATTCTGAAATAAATACGGAGAGAGGAGGAGGCGGATAGAAGATGGATAAAGGAGAAAATAGGTGGAGAGGAGACAGACATGTCAAAGAGGTGGGGTTGGAGCCAGTAAAGGTGAGTGTAGGTGGGGAGTTAGGGAGGGGATAGGTCAGTCCAGGGAGGATGGAAAGGTCAAGGAGGCGGGATGAGGCTAGTAGGTAGGAGATGGGGGTGGGGCTTGAGGTGGGAGGAGTGGATAGGTGGGAGAACAGGTTAGGGAGGCGGGGATGAGCTGGGCCGGTTTTGGGATGCGGTCGGGGGAGGGGAGATTTTGAAGCTTGTGAAGTCCACATTGATACCATTAGGCTGCAGGGTTCCCAAGCGAAATATAAGATGCTGTTCCTGCAACCTTCGGGTGGCATTGTTGTGGCACTGCAGGAGGCCCAGGATGGACATGTCGTCCAAGGAATGGGAGGGGGAGTTGAAGTGGTTCACGACTGTCAGGTGCAGTCATTTGTCACGAACCAAGGGTAGGTGTTCCACAAAGCGGTCCCCAAACCTCCGCTTGTTTCCCTGATATAGAGGAGGCCACAAGGGGGAACAGCGGATACAGTATACCACATTAGCAGATGTGCAGATGAACATCTGTTTGATGTGGAAGGTCTTCTTAGGACCTAGGATGGGGGTGAGGGGGGAGGTGTAGGGACAGGTGTAGCACTTCCTGCGGTTGCAGGGAAAAGTGTCCGGGGTGGTGGGGCTGGTGGGGAGTGTGGAGCGGACAAGGGAGTCACGGAGGGAGTGGTCCCTCCGGAAAGCAGATAAGGGTGGGGAGGGAAAAATGTCTTTGGTAGTGAGGTCAGATTGCAGATGGCAGAAGTGTCGGAGGATGAGCCGTTGGATCCGGAGGTTGGTGGAGTGGTACGTGAGGACGAGGGGGATTCTGTTTTGGCTGTTATTGAGGGAAATGCGAGAGACACGGTCAAGGGCATTTTCGACCACTGTGGAGGGGAAGTTGCGGTCCTTGAAAAACGAGGACATCTGGGATGTCCGGGAGTGGAATGCCTCATCTCGGGAGCAGACGCGGCGGAGGCGAAGCAATTGGCAAAAGGGGATGGCCTTGTTGCAGGAAGGTGGGTGAGAAGAGGTGTATTCTAGGTAGCTGTGGGAGTCGGTAGGCTTGAAATGGATATCGGTTTCCAGGTGGTTGCCAGAGATGGAAACAGAGAGGTCCAGGAAGGGTAGAGAGGTATTGGAGATGGTCCAGGTGAACTTAAGGTGTTAGTGAAGTGGATGAACTGTTCGCTCTCCTCGTGGGAGCATGAGGCGGCACCATTACAGTCATCGATGTAACAGAGGAAGAAGTGGAGGATAGGGCCAGTGTAGCTTTGGAAGAGGGATTGTTCCACGTATTCGACAAAGAGGCAGGCATTGCTTGGGCCCATGTGGGTACCCATGGCCACCTCCCTTTGTCTGTAGGAAATAGGAGGAATTGAAGGAGAAGTTGTTAAGGGTGAGGACGAGTTCAGCTAAACGGATGAGGGTGTCAGTGGAGGGGGACTGGTCGGGGAGGGCCTTTAGGCCATCTGCATGGGGAATGCAAGTGTATAGGGAATGGACGTCCATGGTAAAGATGAGGTGTTAGGGACCAGGGAATCAGAAGTTTTGGAGGAGGTGGAGGACATGGGTGGTGTCACAGACGTAGGTGGGGACTTCCTGGACCAAGGAACAAATGTGTACAATTGCTTAGAAGTTTAATGAAAGCATATCACATTAAATAGAATGGTATCCAAGGTATTTAAGTTCTCATGTGCCATTGATATGTGGAGCAGAACCTCTGGACCAAATAAAGAGGTGTTGTAGTAATATTATCACCAAGTGTCAGTTAGAAAGGATCTCAATAGAACTATCAATTAGGAAAGGTAGTTAGGGAATAAACAGTGTTGATACTTTCATATTCTTTTCTCTTTATCATTTTTGGTTTTGAGCTGTGAACCGTAAGCCACAGGGTAAAGGTAATTTCTGGATTGTGAGCAGCAGGTTGTTTTGAAAGAAAGAGAACAAACAAACCAACATTTGTTTAGGAGGCTGCGCTGGAGGTTTGCTTGCTCCCTGGTTATTCTCTCATTATCAATTTACTGAAAGTTTGGGGGATAGAGTCTCATTTATAAGTATTAAGTGAATATTCCTCGGAGCCTACCGGAAGCTACTTGCATGCACTGGTGTCTTCAGAAAACAAGCAAAATACAATCCAATGTGCCTGCTATGTTATGAATTGTGGAGTCTGCCTAAGTGAATTGGCCAGTTACATCTTTTATTTTTTCTTTTAACGTATCCCTTAACAGTATCTGTTTATCGAAGTCTTTGTGTGAGTGGGTGCTTGAATAAAAGAAGATTGGATTTAAATCATAGATATTAACAAGATTATCTTGTCTAACTTTGCTTTGCTAAAGCTACTGTATTATAAATAAATCGTCAATTATTTTATTTAAGCTACAATCTTGGTGTCTGGTATTGGTTACTCAGAAAATCTGGCACTGTTATTCAAAAAGTCTGGTTAAGAACCAATGGAGGCAATTTTGAGGGTCATTGAATGTTTTAATTTTACTGTGTTACCAATACAGGAATAGGGAGGCTGAATTGCTTTGGCTTTCTGTCTGTGCTGCAACAACAGCAAGAATAAGATGGGCACAACATCATTAGATGTGAATGGAGTACAATGGAGAAAATACAATAGAATTTTGAATACAAAGCCATAAAGTTTAGTCGCGTAATGTCACGTTGGTGGACATCACAATTGCACGGTACCTTGGCATCATATGACTGAAGGCTCTGTTACATGTAAATGTCGGGAATTCGCTGATAGCTTCATCGTGTAGGAAAGAAAAAGCAAATTTGTTCAGAATTCCAAAAATCTCCCTTGTTTCTCTTGTTTCTACAAAATCCTGGCAATACCGCTGCCAAAATGCTTGATGGTAACAAATTTCTAGATAACTTTCTTGATCTGAAAGAGAGAACATTGCTAGCAAGGTTCATTTGGACCAATACTACGCAGTTCAATGACAATAGTTGCTAATATTTAAAATGCATTGTTTTCTATTCAATTAAAACTGGAACTATCACATGCTGTAATTTATCTTTAATAATATTGCAAAGTATAGTCTATCAAAAAAGAAGTCAATGTTCTACTGCGTCCACTCCAATCGTAACAGATTCAAACTAAAATCTTCTCAAAGGTCAGTTTTTTTAGCCACTTGAAATATAATGTAATTTTTTTCTGACTGATATAACTATGTAACACATTGGCCGGAATCTTCCATTTTTGTCAGGTGTCTTGCCCTCTTACTCAGAAAGTGGTGAGAAAGCAATGTTGTCTCCTCAGAGCAAGGTCCACCATATATTTCCCCAATCAGGCAGTTTTTAGGGCAGAAATCAAGTCTCTGGAGGATGGAAATCTTGCCCAGGAAGAGCCACTGGAAAGACAACCAAGATTGTGAAGAACATTATGTCAGGTAAGCTTTTTGTGGCGGATGAGGTGAAGGGGATTCTGGGACTGGAGGTCACTGGGAAAATGAGGCAGGGGGTCGGATGCAATACATGTGGTTTTTGACAGCCAAAACCCTTGCTTTCAAAAATGTGCAAATTAGTGGAGATTGCAGGACTGTCCCATGTTTCTCCCTAAACTGACAGGCAGCTCATACTGGTTTGCCAGTTGGGTGGGCCACCTCATCCCACCTGGAGCTGAGAAAATTGTAACTCAGGTGAGTACATGTCATAAATTGGTCCTGAAGTTGTTGTTAATTGACTGTGCTTAAGCGTATTACGTGGAGACAGGGTAAGAAGCACAACCATAGGCCTTCGCCCAGAATGCATTTGAATGAGTTTATGCAACTTCTCCCCACCTGGCTTTGAACAAAACAAGTAGAAATCAGGGCTAATATTTATATTATTAATTTATCATTCACTATTGTTTATTATAAATTTGTCTATAATTCAATTATCATAAATACTTGTAAGTTGTATAGCAGGAAACCATTAATCTCATCACTTATTAACATGTCTGATAGTTTAAATCTACTGACCAGAGACATACTGAAATGGCCAATTTCTACAGAACTTCCCTGAAGTGTAGTAGATACCATCAGTTTGATTTTAACAGTAGGGTTGGAAACTCAACTCCAGATCATTCCCAGATGCATACACTACACTATAACTGTGTCACTGATGTAACAGCTAAGTGCAAACCTCATGGATAGATGACAGCCATGACTGGGCTTGCTGCTCTCCTGAAAAATGCAGGAAGAAGAGAACCAGCAACCTCATGGTACAGCAAGGTGGCCAAAGGGTCATCAAAAAGTTACCAGACCGGAACTTAGCTAGTCACCTATATTTTAACTATATTTGTTCTCTCCAGAACAAGTGTGATTTTATGACCTAAAATAAAATCAAAGTACCAGGGATGGTGGAGATCTAAAATAAACATAGGAAATGCTGGAGAAACTCAACAGACCTGGCTGCATCTGTGGAGAGATAAATAATATTAACAATTAAAGAAGAATCAAATTGGAATTAAAGATTGGGAACAAAAACAAAGTTGCTGGAAAAGCTCAGCAGGTCTGGCAGCATCTGTGAAGGAGAAAACAGAGTTAATGTTTTGGGTCCGGTGACCCTTCTTCAGAACTCAGTCACACCTGCTCCAAAGGTTAATTATGAGAATAGGTTAAATTAGAAATAAGGTTTGAATTGCAAAATAACTCCACAGGGGCTGGTATCCTGTCACCAAGTCACTCTTTATTTACACTTGCAGAGTCCTTGACACTGATCCAGCTCCCTCACAGCCAGTCCTCAGGGTGAACAGGATGTCTGACAGGTTGTCCTTATCTGTCAGACAGGGCTCCCTGATTGGAGCTGATAATCTGGATCAATCAGGGAACTCATATTCTTTGAGGTCCATCCGGCTGACCTCATTAAAATCACAACAAATTTGGTTGTGTAAATAGGGGAGCTAACTATGAGAGGGGGGGAGACTTTATGGAGTTTGACTAACTGAAATAAAGCTCTCACAGAAAAGTCTGGACATGTATTCTGTTCAATATAGTTACCTTTTTGAGCATAACACCAATCTGTGATTTGAATTACCTCCTAGCCCTCCCCAGTCCATTGAGGTGAGCAGATTCTAGCTTCTGCCACTTTGAAAATCAGACCATTTCAGAGGTACTGGTACAGTGCCATGCTATCAAGAAACACTATTTCCAAAGCTCGGCAGCACCCCTAAACCTATCTTCATCACCAACTGAAAGTCAAACCACATATTCATTTCTGATTAGGGATTCCATGAATAGAGAAGATCGTTCACATTTGATAGACCCTGCACAACTGAAATTAACATCAAAAATGTGCATTCGGTCAGTTCCACATCTTCAGATTGCTCCCTATTTTTATTAAAAAAGCAGATGTCAAACAAAATTCATGAGTTATTAATTAACTGTAGTAAAATGTTGCTAATTTTCTTTTTCTTTTGTTTTGATAACAGAATAACGCAATGATTCAGTGGAATGAATATGATTACGGTAAATTTTTCTACATCCAATTTCACATAAGGTATGTGCATTGACTGAAGAATAATTTGCAAACCGTGTCCTTTAGGAAAAAGGTGTTTCAAGAACACCAGTGGCCAATTATGTTAATAGCTGAGTCAAGAATAGAATTGTACTTGACCCAAAACAAGATCACATGATAAACTTACCAGTTTGCAAAGGAATTAAATCCATAGGATATAACTTGTCAATCACATCGCTACAGTTTCTCATGACTGCTTCTCCTAATTCTTCAATAGTCCTGAAAATTTCAACAGATAACCCTTTATTGACTATCCTTTCCTTCAGCTCCATTATCCTCTGTCCCTCGTGTTCATCTCTACTTTTATATTTACGCTCTATCATTTCCATTTCATCTGGTGCAACATTCAGAAGTATATCATCAACATACCGAGAATCTCGAAAATAAAAGAAGCTGAAACCAGAGTCATTCATTAAGGCTGCCTCAATTATCTGAAGCTCCAGCAAACTGCAGTTTTGATAATTTTCATGTAATATCCACGAGTAACCATTTCTTGCTGCAATTTGGATATTCCTTTCTACCCTGGATAAAGCTTCCATATCTGTTCCACTTGCTGGAAAGCTCTCCGCATCTGGTGGGCAATACTCACCATATTTCTGACCTAACATACATATAAAGAAAGGTGAGATTTTGGCGATGAGATCCAGTGAAACTTTGAGCTTGTGGGAATCTGTATTCAGGTGATGATGTCCTTCGTGTGATGTCCACTGCATATCTAACACTTTCAAATAGCTTCTCCTGGATTTACAGAGTTTGCTAAGAAGAGGAAAAACTTGATTTTCCAAATAATTTCTTTCCTCCAGAAAATCCTCAGTTGTTGAACAGAGAACCACCTGAACGGGTGGTCTATACATCCAGTCTACATGGCATGGTAAACCATGGCATTCTTTTTCCCTTCTCCAATCGATCCTTTGTTTTTTCAAACATTTGCTCATTGTTAAAACTTTCAGAATATTTTCCCTCGCTTTTCTTAATTAAAAAAACACTGCTTTCAATTCCTTTTTCTTATCTCAGCATTCATGTGTTTTTCTTTGCCTTAAAATTGCAGAAACTACAAATAAAATTATATCCATCAATCTTGATTGAATACATGTTCACCAGATTTCTGCAGCATTTCCACCATTGGAGAATGAAAGTATGGTTCTTCAAATGGGTTCAGAATTCCTTACATAATAATTCAGATTCCATGTTCCTGATGATTTCAGCTTTTTCACAGTGACTAAAATAGAATAGAAATTTGTATTATAAGAAATCAGTGCAAATTTATTAGTTCTAATGGTAACAGCTCATATTTTCAATTTTCTTAGACTACAGTATTCCATTGCAATATCAAGAAAATACTTTATAAAAAGACAGTTGAATTACTTTAATTCATGAGAATCCAAGAATTGGAACAGGCTTCATCATTTAATTAAATAATTGAAAGGTAAAAGGTAAAGAACAAAGAAAATTACAGCACAGGAACAGGCCCTTCGGCCCTCCAAGCCTGCGCCAATCCAGATTCTCTATCTAAATCTGTCGCCTATTTTCCAAGGATCGGTATCCCTCTGCTCCCTGCCCATTCATGTATCTGTCTAGATACATTTTAAGTGGCGCTATCGTGCCCGCCTCTACCACCTCCGCTGGCAACGCGTTCCAGGCACCCACCACCCTCTGCATAAAGAACTTTCCACACATATCTCCCTTAAACTTTTCCCCTCTCACCTTGAAATCGTGACCCCTAGTAATTGAGTCCCCCACTCTGGGAAAAAGCTTCTTGCTATCCACCCTGTCTATACCTCTCATGATTTTGTAGACCTCAATCAGGTCCCCCCTCAACCTCCGTCTTTCTATGTAAATAATCCTAATCTACTCAGCCTCTCTTCATAGCTAGCGCCCTCCATACCAGGCAACATCCTGGTGAACCTCCTCTGCACCCTCTCCAAAGCATCCACATCCTTTTGGTAATGTGGCGACCAGAACTGTACACAGTATTCCAAACACCATTGACCCAAAGAACTGCTCTCTCTTTAGAGACAGAGACAACTGATTGTGGTCTTAACCTGAGGATCACCATGCCTCAGGTGAGGGGAGAGTTTGAGAAGGATAGGCCTTCATGGTAACCTCAGCTGGTACAGGAATTGAACACATGCTGTTGGCATCACTCTGCAATGCAAAACAGCAGTCCCAGTCAACAGATCTAACCAAATCCCTTAGCTCATTATCTAACTCAACTCTACATTCTTGTCCTATCCCTGTACTCCAGGATTTCCTCAGCATCTGAAAACCTGAAAACCTAGAAACCTCAGTCTTGAATGAACTCAATAACTGTTCTCTAGAACTAAATAAATAGTCAATTCACATATGTATGCAGCTTCAGAAACACCAATGAGTTGCAAACCAAATGTGGTTGTACTTCTACAAATCTTCTTGCCGGTTTAAGTGTATACCTTGACGTCCCTGTAATAATGCACTGTTCAGAGAAGCAAAGACTCTTACAACACAGAAGGAAATAACATTCCCAATGTGCCTAAAGAAATGAGTGCACCAGAGTAGGCTACTCAGCCTTTCAACACAGCCACCCAGTTCAATTATATTGCGACTGATACATACCTAAACTCAATTTCAACCCAATAAACTTACCCTTAGCCAATAAAAAATATTTTGTTTCAGCCTTGATAACATCAACCATCCTCAACAGCAACAAGCTTTCCAGGAGACAGGATTCTGAGTTTGTACAACCAATTCTGTAAAAATGTCTTTCTGATTTCCTTCTCGTGCATTCTGATGATAAATAATAATGGGCTCCTTCAAATTTCACAAACAATTCTTGGAAGATTACAACCAACATCAGGTTTTTGTCCTGAAAGGCATTGGAACTCTATAGGTTGTTGGGGGAATAAATATCGGCCAGGACACCATGGATGGCTCCCATGTTCATCTTTGAAATAGTGCCATAGGATCTTTTATCTACATGCAGAGGTCTGACAGGACTCAGTTTAAGGTCTCATCTAGAACCTAGCATTGCTAATGGTTAAACATACCATGTGAAACCATGAGGAAATTTCTGCAAACTGATGCTGGGTTGAACAAATGGGCAAAATGTAGTAAACAAGGTGCACCTTATTGAATGCATCCCAGAGAATTATGACTCCTCATATTTTTCACAGTAGCTTCATATAACCACAATAAAGGTGCAGTGTCTCCAAAAGAACTAGCCAATTTAGTTCTTCATTCAGACTTTTCACCACTTTTTATTCATTCATTTGCAGGATGTGGCTGTTGCTGGCCAAGCCAGCATTTATGGCTCTTAATTGCCCAGCGGGCAGTTAAGAGTCAACCACATTGCTTTGGGTTTGGAATCACATTAGGCCAAACCGGGTAAGGATTGCAGTTTTCTTCACTGATGGCCATTAGTAAACTAGATGGATTTTTCTGACAATCAGCAATGGTCTTCCTTAGACCTTTAATTCCACTTTATTGTTAATATTCTGTTAATATACAAGGCCTTAAGGCTTGTCTCTTTAAAATTCTTACAGAATCTGATTGAACTAGGTTTATGTCTGCTGAGGCTCAGTTTGAAGCATGTCTCCCTGTATTTCAAAAGGTCATGGGATCAATCTCACTCCAGACACTTGAACAAAAGAATGTGAGTCAACACACCAGTGAAGTCGTGAGACAGACAGTAGGAACTGCCGATGCTGGAGAATCTGAGATAACAAGGTGTAGAGCTGGATGAACACAGCAGGCCAAGCAGCATCAGAGGAGCAGGAAAGCTGATGTTTCGGGTC